ACTATTTTTGTTGACCTTTGTCCATGGAAGGTCCCTGCAAAATTTCATTGAAATTGGTTCAGGGGTTTTGGAGAAGAAGTCGAAAATGTAAATTGTTTACGGACGCACGACGGACGACGGACGACGACGGACAAAAGGCGATCGCAATAGGTCACTTGAGACTTTGTCTCAGGTGACCTAAAAAAGGTCCATTTACAAGTATGCTTTAATCTCTGTAAAGTATTGAAAAAATATAATTATCAAGTATCTCAACACTTTCCATATCTGACACATATTCTACATGCACACGTAGTGGTTTTGCCATACAGTTTATTGTGTGTGATGGCTAATATGACTTACTAAGTGTTAGCGTATGGAGACAGTGAAAGTGGGAAAGAGAGTATACATACATTTATATGCATGGTCTAGAAAAACAATTGGTCAAAGACATTGAGTTGTACAATGTAATAAAACAAGAGGCCCAATGGGCCTGCATCGCTCACCTGGTATAAAACTCATGCTTGTAACCTTAAAAGTGATCTAAAATAAAGCTACAGGCAAAATATCAGTATTTATGATTAAAATTCGTTCAAAAGACCCTGTTATTTTTTTTTTAAACATTTCACCCCTGTGATTGAAAGTCGAACAAAGTCATTATGTTGAACACATTGTATAGGCTTTCATCTCAGGATGCAACTTGCAAAGTATAAACATCCTGGGACCCATGGTTATTCATAAGAGGTTGTTTAAAGATTTTAAACAAATTTGACCCCTGTGACCTTGAATATAAGTCAAAGTCATTCACTTTAACAAACATAGTAGTCCTTGATCCCAGCATATGCTACTAACTAAATATCAACATCCTGAGCCTTTTGGTTATTCAGAACAAGTTGTTGAAATATTTTAAACATATTTGCTCCTTGTGACCTTGAATATGATTCAAGGTCATACATTTAAACAAACTTGGTAGCCCTTGATCCTAGTATGCTACTGACTAAATATCATCACCCAGGGCATTTTGGTTATTCAGAAGAAGTTGTTTAAAGTTTTTAACATATTTGACCCCTGTGACCTTGAATATGGGTGAAGGTCATTTATTTGAACAAACTTTGTAGCCCTTTATCTCAGCATGCTACTGGCCAAATATCATTACCCTGGGCATTTTGGTTATTGAGAAGAAGTTGTTTAAAGTTTTTAACATATTTGACCCCTGTGACCTTGAAAATAGATGAAGGTCATTTATTTGAACAAACTTGGTAGCCCTTCATCCCAGTTTGCTTCTGGCCAAATATCATCACCCTAGGCCTTTCGGTTATTAAGAAGAAGTCGTTTAAAGTAAAATATTGACGCCGGACGGACGACGGACGCCGCACCACGGCATAAGCTCACTTGGCACTTCGTGCCAGGTGAGCTAAAAATCATAAACATTTCCTTTTTTTATACGCGTGTAGTTTGTCATTGAATATATGCACTTTATGAAAACATTTGAAAAGGGATATTCGTCTCGTGAATATCCCCTCTCTGGGGGCCCCTTTGGAAACAGTTTCATCTCGCTCACACCACTTGTGTTTACTTTCTAGTCAGGTGACGTTATCGGCGCTATTTTTAGCAGGGCTTTCCTGAACAATTCAAGTGGTCAAACTGGACATTTGGAACGGACTATGAATATGAGGATAGCGAGGTAACATAAGTGGAAGTGCATACAATACATACATTCATTAAAAGAAATATGGCATCAAAGTTTGCCCCTTTAATTACTGGTTTAATCTGGACCACAACTGGACATGGACCACAACTGGACAAACAGGTTACAGACAAATATAGATACAGGACCATTACTGGACTCGCATGGATGTTATAAATAGACGAAAAGGGAAATCCCCTACACCACTCGGACTAAAGGTCACGCCCTGTAAACAGTAACACACACAAACAAATGACACACAAAATGAGCCTACAACATATATTATATTTCATTCTTAGCCCTACCAAACCATCTCAGGTAAAAATTGATAAAATTGGACCATATGGATGGGGCTGATTAACTGAACACTTAAACCCAATCATTTAACGTGTCAGCTGCAGAGCACAGAATTTAACAAATTTTTTTCTAATTTTTCTCTTTTAACAAATCATGTGCGATATACAATTGTATATGTATTGTGTTAAATAAACTGATCACGACGGTCCATCGGCTTTGTAGAACAATTAAGAGTTTCTAAGATTTTGGTGGATTTTGTCCTCAAGTCAACTGTTATTGTCGATCCCTGATAATATTTTTCATTTGTTGCTTGTGAATTTGGTAACGAAAATGACAGGGGTGTAAAAAATCCACTTGCCCGACATAACCAGTCTTAGCGCTCGGGCAAGTGGATTAGAATAGTATGTAAAACATGTTATGCATGTAATTCTCCGTTCCCTAAAATAAATAATTAACTTAACAGGCTGTATTTTAGTGTTTTTCAAACAGGAAGTCGCATTGGCATGACCAATAACCGGACAAATCCGGACCCTGATTTCAGAAATTCAAAAATATTCAAAAGTAAATATTTAATAAATAATTATTTAAGTATTAACAAAAATTAAACTTGGATACTGTTATTACTGCCGTCAGCGAGTTGTTCGTTCTTGGGCAAAACAAGCGAACGTCTCACACAACAACGACGCTGATTGGCTAGCTGGTCCACCCAACAACCTATCAGAACTTGCGTTTCAATAGAAATGCTGCATGGCTGTCAGTGCGTAACAAAATGGCAAACCAGGAAAGTGAAAGTAGATTTCAGAAAGCGAATATAACCTTAAATTACTTAATTTATATGTTCAATTTGATCGATCATTAGTCGATCATCAGACACATGATTGGAAGTGATGATCATTAAACTCTAGGATCATCCGCGAGCTACTGATTTAAACGTTTGGAAGGTATTGTTTGTCCTTAGCTGTATATAACTAAACCGCTTTGTTGAAAGTATAATATCCAACCAAAATACATGTCATCATTCTTAAGATTTAAAGCATTTTCTCACATTTTTCTTGACAAATGCATTTCCATGGACATCCAAACTTATGATATTTACAAGTTTAAATGGTTTTTTTTCCTGAATTGTAACTTTTATTTAGCTTGGAAAATGAACATATAAAAAGTGAGTTTTTCATCAGTTATTGAATGTTTTTTCTGAAATTTAGTACATGTACCTCAATTATGTTTGAGAAATATTGGAGGAGGATTATTTTGTGACAGGGATTGTTTAATGTAACGGAATGCATTATTTAATTTGATATACAGTTTGGTGTGGCAGCCATATTGGAATGTCCTTAACAAACTCATTGATTTTTGTATGAATGTTGTGTGTTATTAGCGAAATTCTCTAACGTCAGGGCCTCCCCGTTAATGAAAGTGAAAGTAGATTTTAGAAAGTGAATCTAACCTTAAATTACTTAATTTATATGTTCAATTTGATCGATCATTAGTCGATCATCAGTCACATGATTGGAAGTGATGATCGGGTATGAGTTTACAAGAGATTCCCAACACTACCTGTGACCTTGAAAGTAGGTCAAGATCATTTTAATGAGGATTTTTATAGGTACCAACTGGCCAAATATCATGACACTAGGTCCTCCAGTTTTTCATCAGAAGTCGTTCAAAAGAATTAGTTGACTGACAGACGATGGACGCTGCAGTACGGCATAAGCTCAGATGACCCTTTGGGCAAGGTGAGCAAATAAAATAATTATAATAATTGCAAATAGGGAGAGAAAAAGACTAATATATTTCATGAAAAATCCGTTTTCTGTCTTTACATGCCTATATACTATGCATTTTACATGGAGCAAGTAGAAAATATTCTATTAGCAAATATTCAAGCAAGTTGATTTCTATTCAGGTGTACTTGCCCGGGGCAAGTGTTCTGATTTTTTTTTTCACCCCCGAATGAGAAATGTCACCATTTTTTCACATGCTTGGATCAATATCACGACCCACTCTGGGACATCAAACTGTGAAAACCCCACCTAAAAGGGTTTCAATATTTGCCATGCTTAGTGGTGTGCTCTAGCCCAACATGGACATCTGACACCCGTCTGTCAAAAGCCAAGGTGTTAGGGACAGCAAAAACTCGGTCTCTGTCCAAACCTGATCCAGCAATTTTTTTGACGATCTGGAGTACATATGGTTCTCAATAAACTCGACCCACTGATTCACGCAAACTACATTTATGGTGCAGAATACCAGTTCGTTAATGAACGCGGAAGATAAATGCGCCACCCCGAGTGTAGCGTCCGTGACCGACCTGTCAGACAGCTTTTCTACAACTCTAAGTGGTTGTGTATTCGCTAGCGTAAAGTGTTTTCTCCAGTTTTCAGACGCGCATTCAATTTATTTGTAGAATAAAGCCACGCCACATGTTTAAATGAATACCGTGCACATATAACCCTAAAAATGACTGTGCTTAGCACTGCATTAGCATACAATAATGTTGATTACCTTTCTCGTGTTCAGGTTCAAAATGGCCCCGAATATCTCTTATAGTCTCTAAATTTAGAAACGAGTTATAATGGTGGACATATATATCTGCTTGTCTATAAATTATATAAAATTGAATAATAACAAAAGGGCATTTCTATTTTAGATTACAATACTTTTTTAACGTAAAAATGCAAATGATAAACACAGCAGTTTGAGAGTAATACGGTATGTACATATTTAAGAATGCCATACGAATTAATTTGGGTGCATAATTTGTTTTCGAAAGGAGCGTATTCACTTAATTTTCATTCAACTCATTTTTAATACATTTTATGTTAATTCTGTTTTTCGGTGAGAACCTCCGTTTATTGTGCATATTTTGTAGTTTAATGTTTTCGTTTCAGTTTTTTTATTTAGCAAAATGTATTCACCGTAGAGCCTCACATCCAATCAAAACAAAAGTAGGCCCAGACGCTGTCAGTCAGTCGGTGCGAGTGATGCGTTGATAGGTAGGTGGACAGGTAAACGGACAGAAGTCGACATGACAAGTGTAACAGCATGGAACAGCATTGAAGGATTACCGAAACAGTTTGTTAAATCACTTCGTGTTCTTTTCGACATTTTAGACGAACAGAGATGTGGTTATGTTCGATTTGTCGACATCGAAAGCAGATGGCACGAGGAAGGGGTGAAGGGGCTACCAAGTGGGGTAATCGAAGCTTTACGAAAAGTTACTCCTCATAATGGTTACCTTAGTTTTGACAGATTTGTGGCCGGTTTAAAACTTGCTATGTTAACAAGTAGAAATCCCAGAACACACGACCACCAGCAAAAACATGAAAGCCATACACATAATAAGCACGTAAAGGTTGACCCAAGCAGACAAGGAGTCCTAAATGACGGGCAGCATATAAATGAAAAAGAAAATAGAACCGAACATGGTACCAGGAGAACAAGTCAGCCACGAAGTGATGCACCTCAGCCTCCCAAGAGATCTAGTCATAGAGCTTTACACCAAAATAGATACCACACCATAAATACTGCAGCTGTGAAACCGAATAATGTATTGAATGCATTACATGATCGAAGTAATGTTAGAAAAGAAATTTTGGATCACCCAGAAAAATACCATTCAAGAGAAAAACTGTCATCTTATAGCTCTCATCATGATGTTCCAATTTCGCCGATTTCAAAATCATCCGTTGACTCTTTAAAAGATAATCACAATACAAATGGGAGTAATCCGCCTCAGGTTCCTCCAAGAGACAAAAATAATAAACGTATCATAACTGAACTGAAGAACTGGCAGCGACGAATCAAAGAGCCTGGACAACCATCTGTTGCAAAGAAAGAACATTTTCATCAAGCTAATAGTGATTCACATCTACTGGCCCAAAGTTCTCATTCATCAGCTGGAGGAGTTTACGGTAAATATTTTCTGAAAATTATCGAGCATTTTAATAAAAACGTAAAAGATGTAATACATAATCCCAGGGGATGGTACATCCTGAGAAATGTTATCTATATATATGTCTAAACTAATCAGTGATTTTTGGGATTCAGATATTTGAATCCAGGACTTAATCATGCTTTCCTTATAGAACTCGCCTACTCTTTTGAGAACCCACTATATTTCTTAGTAGTAGGACTGACACCAGAATTTTTAAAAAGACGTTCATGAAAATGAAAAAAATGAAAATATTTAATAAGGTTCTAGAGGGATTTTGTTTACCAATCTGTATTTTATCAGTTGCAGCTTTTAAGACTCTGTAATGGATTTTGTTGACAATGATTAAAATGTCTGAAAATATTAATTGATTAATTAAATATAGAGCATAATAATCTTGAATACATGATTCCTAAGTGTGTCATTTTCACCTTATATCACATAGAAATGGAAATCACATTGAGTAACTATAATTGTTTTAATTGTATTACTTGAAAATAGCCTACAGCTTATGGGATCAATCGTAATGTATTATGAATTGCTGATTCCCAGAGCTAATGTTATCTATATCTGTCAAGTGATGATATAAGCAATCAAAAATAAACACAGGTATTGAAAGGTTGACTTACCCAATCATGTTTATTTATGTTTCTAAATAATAGTGTGTTGTCAGATTGAGATAAGATTACAGGTAATTGTTGCCAATTTCTAAGCTACATATGCATGTAGTTAGCCTGAGGGGATTAAACTCTCCTTCCACTGGTAGATTAGCTTTTTAAACCCACAGGGCATAGAAAAGTAATTGACTTCATGCCTTTAAGCCTATAACACTTTTATTTAGGCATTTATAATAACAAATGAGAAAATAAAAGTATTTAATAAGGCTCCAGGGTAATTTGTACACCTATCTTTGTATTTGATCAAAATTGCATTCTGTAGATAAAAATTATATAAAAAAAAATATGGTTTAATTATAAACATTACCTGAACAAGTTTCTGCACTGTGAATATTATTGAAAATTTAAAACAAGCTCTGTTTATTTATAATCTTATTCAATCCAATGTCAAGTTATTATCACTTTTGTAAAATTTTACAAAACAAAAGAAGAAGAAGAATTTGATTGCAGCAAAAGCTTTTATCAGAACACGAAGTTTGAAAGGTCTAAAGTTGACTCTCCTCAGATTCACATACAGACTGTACAAAATGTGCTATGAACGTATGTGCATTCTTGTATATATAGACAATTGCAAGAGTTGAGTAATGATTGCATGTATATAGGATCTTTAACAAAGACATGGTACCTAGAATAGTTTCATTTGAAAGTGTATTTTTTAAGTTAACTATTAATTACAGTTGGAATAGAAGCTTCTTCATTTACTAGTACAACACACTTGCTAAAGCCTTTTTGGGCATCAGGATTTTTTTTATTATTTTTAAATCAGTTATGTTCAGTTATTCTTTATTCTATTAAATGTTTTTTCTCAATGCAGTACTGGTAAGTGGTTGTATTCAAATATTTGTTTTTTGATGTATATATATATATATGTTAACAGTCTTGCCCTAAATAATTATTCAAATCAAACTTTTGAACTTTTCGTTAAAGATGAGGTCATCGTGAGAACAGCGAGTTGGATAACTGATAAGGTTTTTCAAACACTGATAGGATTTTAAACGTTAAACGTTGAGAAAGATATTTGCTTTGCATTCTTGCCCTATATAATTTGAATTCAAAATGTTAAATAAAGAAAGAGGAGAAACCACTGTTGCTATACATAGATAAGGGCAATAAAGTTGGACAGGAACTGAAATGTTTTATATGGTAATGTACTACCGGTATGTGCCATGCTGATCTCGAGTGTCTCGTTTACACAACGTCCGATTATTGGCGAGTACTAGACCATATCATCTAACTGTCAAGGTACACACAGGTAAATAGTTTACCTGGCGTGATAACACTGCTACTTTGCCCTGTCTATTAACTGTTCACAAATTATCCATTGGACACTTGATACCCTCCTGAGCAACGGCTAACGTCTTTGATCCGTCCAGGTCCAGTTAAGACTCGGTTTCAAATTGAATTTCTCTGAGCTCAACAGTTCTGTTTTTATGAAATATTGTGTCGAATCTATGATTGTCATAGTACATCATAACCTGCTATTGTAGCATAAAATTGAAGTTGTTACTTTTCATTGAATAGCGTGACCGGGAAATTGCTGAAATTTTCTGCGGCTGGGAACATCGATAGGATCTAGATCTATTGAGCTGTGGTTGAGTGGTTTTAATTGTACATCGTGATCAGAGATAGATGGAACATAATCGTACAGGATATGGGGAAATAATGATCCACTTTATGACAAGTTTATCATGAAAAAGACATTCTATGCTAGGAAATCTTGATCATGATTTGATTTATGGGATGTGAATTTAAAATGTTGTAAATTTATGCTATATTAAACTAATTTTTCAGTAGTTTCTTCAGGCAAGTTAGTAACAATTACTAACAAAAAATCGTTTGCGATAAAACGTTTATTTTGGTTCCTAAATATTTCACATATATTTGTTGCTTTTTCATGTGCAAGATAATTGGTATCATTATTATATACATGTATAGTGGGTTAAAACCATCTTCATCTTAGGGCTGATAAACTTGAAAGTAAGTATTAATTACATGTCATAAAGGGGGGAAAAAATACCTAAATCATTACGCACATATGTTTTTCTAGCCATTCCATCAGGCACAGTAATATTTTTGTTCCAGGAAAAGTTTAACCCAAGATTGAGTCAGTCATAATATATAGCCATGGTAGCAATTTAGAAAAAAAACAGACATGGAAGGAAATTAAAGTAAGTTTTCTTCCACAATGTCACAAAATCAGAATTAATCACATACATGTACCATAGGAATTAATTATAAAGTTGTTATTTGGATAATTCAACTTTGAGATAGTGGTACAGTAATCCATTCATTTACAGTGTGTTTAAGTTAGGGGCCAGGAAATACCACCCTTTCTGTTATGCAAGTGTAAATAATACTTAAACTAGTCTGCTCAGAGTGAAAGGATCCCAGTATGTTATTACCTATGTCAGGACTTAGGTAAATACAGTTAATTGTAGAGTTGAGTGGTGTCACTCTCGGATTTGTCACCTCCAGAATCACCCTGATATGTTGTGTAAATATTAACTCAGTGCCGCTATGTATCGCACAGAGCCTCAACACCAATTTCCTGTCTTTATTTTGGAATCCCAGCTGCCATGTGGTCATTTATGGCAACCAACAGACAGTTAACACCTCTAATAATATCACCACATGTAGGTACATTGTGCATGTACAAGTCTTTTTACAAGTATGCCACTACATCATTAGATGATTTTGTTTGTTCATTTAATTGGGGTTTAATGTTTTTTTGTAATAGTTAAGGTCATATCATATGAAGACTGAGGTACCCAGCCAAAAAGAAAGAGAAGAAAACACAGATTCCAAATGTTGCAATCGGGGCAGCAAATTAATGTTCGTCTCTTCATTAATTCTTTCCTTGAGGTAGAATTCAGACACAGAAGAAAACTCCCAGCTCTGCAGGGGGCCTATCAGTACTCACCTGGGACGATCCTGTGGTCACATACACAAATATACAGCATTCTAGCCGTTGGGATAATGCAAAAAGTTTTGAGATACTGTAATATGAAGATATATATTTCACTTGAAATACATAGAAAATAAACTGCCATGGATTCAAAATTGACTTCAAACTAGCAAGTGTACAATACTTTTGAGGTATCTTCTACTTGTAATAAAGCTTGAACCCAACTTTTAAAACACTCGTGTTAAAGCTGATGGTTGACAGTGTTTTTGTCAGGTCTTTATAGGGGCGATCCAGTACTGAGGGACCAATTTCCAATTGAAAAATATGACCCTACATTTTCCCAATTTCAGTCTTTCTTTTCCCAATTGGATGAAAACATGTTCATACAAGTTTCTTTTCGTGATATGTGCAACGTTCAGAGTATTTAAACCATCCGTGAAGGAACATTTCACAATACAGAAATAACAAGAATTTGAAATTGAAAACTGGTAAACAAAAACACTGAAAATTGATGTGTTTATTTATTGCTATACAATTACTGTAAGAAACAGCTGGAGGAAAACGTTTTGCTAATTACATTGCAGGTTTTATTTTTTCCAAACTGATGATATTTTCCCAAACCTGTACTATATGTGGGAACACTGATGATATTTTGCATTTTTTGCAAAATGCTGATGATATTTTCTCCATTCCTGCTCAGGGACTCTTCCCAAAATAGCTGGCAAAAACCCTGGTTGAAGACGTCCTTATTTATGTAGTTATGAAGAAACCTTATAGCAATTTTATACTGTGTGTTCAGGATTTACTGCAGAGTTAGTGATCATATCAGTTGTTGACTTTGATCAGGTTGGGTGACGGATTAAGGGGAATCACTGGTAGCTACTGTATCTCCTGTAATACAGGGGCAAGTGTGATAAGGAAATGATATAGACATGAGCCTGGGGTCATATGTCAATGTTAGCTCAGACTTAGATCACTTCTGATGGTATCAAGTTAATTGTGATATGCCAAAACACAAAAATGACATGCAATTTTGGTGTCTAAGGAAGGGGGAATGAAAAATGAAGTAATTCTTTTAATGGATTTACTGGCAAGCTCTGGACTTTGTTGGTCATGTAATAAACAGAAAATTCAATAGTTTTCCATTGAATATCATATATAAATTTCACTTGCTTTGCTCTTAATTGTGAAAATAGAAATATCTTCCATATCCATGAATGATACAATCAAACTTGCCATTTTTTTTTTTAATTTCCATGAGGGGGATTATGCATGCTCAGAATTAAAAGCATTATTTGTACAACCTAGGGGGAAAAAACACAATTAGGTGAAATCATTAGATCTTGGAAAATAAGAATAGTTTTAACAAATTCACTGGTGGAGAAATGCTCAATTTTAGGGTCCAGAATCCTGAGTCGCCCTTCAAAGTAGGGAGACTTGGCAAGTATGATAAACAATGTAACTGTATATATGCAAATAATTTAATAGGAAACCATTGCACATTCTTTAATGTTGCAAAAAAAGTAAAACCTAGGGGGACTATAAACACTTCTGATGTTCCAAACCTCTTTAATTTGTACTTCTTTACAAATTTGTTTCAAAATCATGCGCCATCAGGGAACATTACATCAGTATCACAAAAGAGATTTGCTGCTTGTATAATCGCACCAATGGATCGGTACAAAAAATCTTAATTTAGGGTACAAGATCAAATAACGGCTTATTTGAATTGCAGTGATAACACTGATAGCTCGTAATTGTCTGATAAAATCTTGTACATTGCTACAAATGGGTCGTTAATAGCATCGACAGGCGGGAATTACATTCACTCTTACCTGTAATTAACCCCCAGGTGTGGGCCACCGTTGGTTGGGTAAGGTGGTCTCGAGATGTAATTTTGTCTCACCTCCTCGAATTATTTGATTTTGCTTAAAGTGTGCGCTTGACTGTTGTGAGTTACAAAAAGAATTTATGTCAATAGTCTGCCTTCACAAAATCAGTTATTGAAGTCGGAAACAAATTCATCATTTTGCCTTTCACACAGGTACATTGCTTTGCTAAGGTTGTCGGCTAGTGACAGGAAGAATGAGGGAAAAAAATAGAGATTCTCACGCAACAGGTAACAGGGTCAAAGTAGAAATCCTATCCAAGGTTATTAAATGGCGAATATTTGGGTTGGTATCAGTCTTGAAGGAAAAGTTTCTTTTATGTTTGAAAAAGATCACAGATTAGAAATATTTGATAAAGAGAAATGACACCCAATATTTTCATAGAGTATTACAAAATATTTCATGTCTTATAGTATTTAGGGGTGTGGGTTGGGTCGTGAAAAATTGGGGTTATTGTTGAAAATGATATTAAATCCCAAATGTACTCTCTGAAAATAAAAACAGTTTTATATCTCAGACTACAACTGTTCCAATTAAAACAGCTGATCATACATACATTGTTAAATACACAAGATAATTTTGTTGACTTTACAGATTTAGATTATCATAATATTCACTATTTTTATAATTTTTAATAAGTAAATGACAGTTGACTTAAGTCTATAGTAGCCTTCTGGAACTGGGTTTAAGGACAGTTTATAGATTCAATATTGGTGCATTATTCCTTTTTGCCCTCAAAGCATGTTCACAAACTTCGGATTAAACTAGTTTTCATTGGATTTGAAATTGAGCAAAAACATTGGTCAGTGTTCAATAGAGCTGTTTGTACAGGGTAATTTATTTAGGATTGAATACAATTGAGGAGACACCGCTTCACTAACTCTCAGTACACTAGCAAACAGTCTGTCTAACAGTGGGGTGCTGTGTGATTGAAATAAAATCTCGAAACACTATACTGGCCAGGATCAAAGGTTCAAAGTTTTGTCAGTTTTAAGTGAAAATGAATTTAACCATTTTTGTCTGTCAGAAAGTCTTCCATCTTCATTTGAGATAAATCATTATAAAGTGAAAAGTTACCCTTATTGTCACTCAGCAGTTGTATGTACATGTATACTGTGGTTTACATGCATGTACATGTATATATGCTTTCAGTACAAACACATAGAAAAGTTTGCAAGAAAAAAATATCGAATATAAATTACTGATATTTTATGTTGTACATTAATGTATGGTTAACTTATAAACCTGATTTGGACGTATCGTGTTCTCTGATCATGAGGATGAAGAACTTTAACATGCATCAGACAAACAGATTTGTGTCCATACTAATGTCAAACACAACAAATGAACCGTGCATGCCTAGCTCCTTGTTTAAACACTTCTAGGCTTAATTAAATTGTCATGAATGATGGGCAACTTTCAGTGAAGTAACAAGGTCAGAATCAAGAGCTACAATGTACATTAAATCGTATTTCACCTCAAATAAGCCACACCTAACGATGTAAGCAAATCTCTCATATATATAATGATCAAAGATCAAATGGATTAAAAAAAAATACCATAGCATATGATATATAATAAATACAAAAAAAAATCTTGTTAACTGTCGGAACATGAATATTGTTTATATGGCTTCAAACATGTATTGCATTCATTTGGGGGAAAAAATAAGGAACAGTGTTGTTACTTATATAATATCAAATAAAGGACTTCTGCTCGGGATAGTCAACGTTAACTCATTCACCCCTGAAGACACAGTTGAACTCTTCCAATTCTAAGGTTGGTAGTTCATTTTGAAACTTCAGGGGTGAATGAGTTAAGTCAGAGCTAGAATCAATATATGTAGTACTAAGTGTATAGGAGGTGAAAGGGATTCAGATTTGAACAAGGAACTGTGTTGTTACACTTATGCATATTATAAAATATAGACTGCTGCTCAAGATAGTCGACGTTTAAGTCAGGTCTAGAATCAATATAGTACCAAGTGTATAGAAGGTGAAAGGGATTCTGATTTAAACAAGGAACTGTGTTGTTACACTTATGTATAATATATAATATAGACTGCTGCTCAAGATAGTGGACATTTATGTCAGATCTAGAATCAATATAGTAACAAGTATATAGAAGGTGAAAGGGATTCAGATTTAAACAAGGAACTGTGTTGTTACTTATATAATATATAATATAGACTGCTGCTCAAGATAGTCGACGTTTATGTCAGGTCTAGAATCAATATAGTACCAAGTATATAGAAGGTGAAAGGGATTCAGATTTAAAGTGTCAGCCAAGTGTTTATTGTGGTCTGGGGAAAGGATTGGGGCTCATATAGTACAGCTTCAAAGGTCCTTAAATAGTTAAGAGGGCTGATCAATGACTTTATACGGGGCTCGGTTGCATTGACATTTGGTATTGACATTCAGCCGGTATGTAAAAACCAGCAGGAACTGTTGACTCGTAATGTCTAGAACTTGTAAGGTGTTGTCCTAAACACAATGCACCTATTGTATTGGTGTTTCTTGACTGTTTATGGAATATTGAGACTTGTTCATGGGAATTTTCATGTACAGTTACTAAGCCTATGAAAATATTTTGAATCTTTTACACAGTTTTCCAACCAAAATAAACTACAAAAGTATGAAATGTTTATAACTGTTTATGGAATATTGAGACTTGTTCATGGGAATTTTCATGCACAGCTACTTAAATAAAGCCTATGAAAATATTTTGAATCTTTTAAACAGTTTTCCAACCATAATAAACTACAAAAGTATGAAATGTTTATAACTGTTTATGGAATATTGAGACTTGTTCATGGGAATTGTCATGTACAGCTACTTAAAGCCTATGAAAATATTTTGAATCTTTTACACAGTTTTCCAACCATAATAAACTACAATAGTATGAAATGTTTATGAATGAGTTCAGACGGCCATATAGTATCACTGTACTCAGAACAGATTGATGGCAATTTATGGTACTTATAAAATGTTACTTAATAGCTCTTCTGGACCTTTACTTAAACAGCTTGATATGCATCAGTGTTTTATCAAGGTTTGAAACAAATGGAGGACATTGGTAGTGTTCCACAAATAACTGACATGAAAAGTCACTAGAATTGAATCTGCATGGTATCTTAAAAAAATATAGAAAAATCAATCCCTATGTTGCTTGATCTTTAGAAATGGTTGTGTACATAGAGAGAATGCTACATAGCAATAATGCTGTTCTACTTAAAATTTCCTATACCAGCTGTCGTCTGGAATGTTTTTTACTACATTATATTACATTATATAATCCGCTAACATTTACAGTAATAAAGTTTTGTATACTGTTGAAGTTAGGAAGGGTGTTTTAGAACTTAACTCTTGACATGTCCAAAGTTTTAAGACAGGGCCATGATTGGTAATAGGTTTAAATTTTCATCAAAATTATTACAGTGGTACCAACACCAAGAATAATTAAGTTATACATTTTGGGGTTATTGTGACTAATTATAAAAAAAGCTAATTAAAAATGCAATTCATACCATAAATTGTACAAGTTCTTGCACTTCTCACCAAATTGCATTACCAGTATGCTAATTAAGAGATCACAATTTTCAAGTAAGCAAATTGATTGTTTTTGCTTTCAACAACTTAAAAGTTAATTCACAGTCATTGACGCAGCAAGGTATAACATGTGTATTGCTGAAGTCTTTTTCTAGTTTTAGTGTGCATTCATATTGCTGTTGTAAGACTGAGGTGATCATTCTGAATTGTAGGTCTTAAAAATCCTGCATATATTTAGCAGAAAACAAAAAGAAAAACATTTATGTTCGGATATGTAGTATATATGATATATTCTTTCCCTTCTATACAGTTAACATTGAGCAGGTCGCCAGGGTATCACACAGCAATGAGTCGGATCCGAAGGTCCAGAATGCCAGCTCCCTCCCTCAGAAGTCGGGGGCTACAGTCCGACGACAGAACTCGGCCCGCAGACATACGCTGTCCAGTGGAGTGGATTACAGTATGGTATGTAATGATTACCGTTTTGTTATACGGTAAAAAGCTAGAGCCGGTCAACGACTTTCAGGCCAAACAGGATACTTACTAAGACAAAGTTTTAATTGAATGTGAAAGTTTTCATTTTAATTCCATTTTCATTATGCTACAAAGTTTTACTACAGGTTCAGGAATGAACCAAACTTTTTCTTTATCCTCAGATAATCACTGATGCTATATGATATACCTTGAATATGCTATGTAAAGATTTAGTCATCATCTAGCATTTATAAATCACAACTTTATATATAAAATGTATTCTACCTTCAGATCAAGAGACTGAGACAGTTAGAGAAAGAGAAGGAGGTGTTGATGCAGGGACTGGGAATAGTAGAACAGGCGCGAGAATGGTACCAAAAGCAAGTCCAGAGCATCGACGAAAAACAGAAATATGTCGGAAAAGCCACCTATAATGTAAGAAACAGACCCCATTTCAATGCTCCTTTTGCAATTCTTTTGGTTTAAAGATGATTTGCTTCAAATAGTTATTCATCATTGAAGAATCCCGACTGTATCTGCTACCCTACCCCCATTGCAATCTTGGGATCTATATATCTTTTCTTTTCCAACTTTCCGACCCTTTCATTTTGGCGTTGTCTTCTGTCTTACAAGGACGCTTAACTCCACACAAACAATTCATGATGTGTTCATGTTTTAAAAAATATTTTGGAGTGGTCAGTATCTGAATGTTAGTCAAGATTAAAGGATTTACCAACTTGTTTGTATATTGAAATATGGGACAGTATTGAAGCTTGGGGAAAACTTTCTACTCTAAAATAGTATGATAGTTTGTGACAGGACAATCGGAATAACGAGAGAGAACAAATTATGGTGCAATGAAAATTTAACCGAGATTCTATTTCTATGTCAAATGCAGGACAACAACTTGGAGTCTCATCAAGAGAGAATGAATTTTCAGCAGGCTCGTGTTTCAGAGGTGAACCAACAGCTGAAAACTCTCATAGAGAGTTCCGAAAAGGTAACGTTTTTAGTCTGTATGCTGCTGTCATTAATCTTGTTTAGGTGTTGATATTAATTGCTGGGTTTTGTCCGTATTTTTAACCCAATTTCTTTGGTCTTCAGGAGCTGTCACTTGACAAAGTGTATGGTATTTGGGCAAAATATGTCAAACCTGACAGCTCGCTTTTAATTTTGTCATGTACATGAATATTCAGATGAGAAATGTGTTGTGGAAACAACAACTTTCACAATTCTGATTTGTCATTCATCATGAATTCTAACTTGAATTTATTCCAGAAATAAATGAATACTGAATAAAATTTGAGACTTGAGAGCTACATAATGTACATGCACCTGGTACCTGAAGTATAATGCGAGTCATCAGTCAACATATATATCTCCAATGACTCCGATGTTCAGATGAGAAAATGTGGTGTAAAAACAACAGTTCTTATGATTTTGTCATTTTTCATTAATTTTTACTTGACTTTATCCCAGAAATGAATTAATTCTGAATAAAACAGAGATTTGAGAGCTACATTATATACTTGAGTATAATGCGAGTCATCAGTCAGCAAGTCTCCTGTGACAGCTTAATGTCATTTTACTCTTTAACAAACTAAATTTACAGAAGTGTGCGCAAGTCCCTAACGATATCAACAATCAATTAGAGGAGGGAATAATTTTATGATGAAATTTGGCAATTATCATGATGGTAATTTGATACACTATCTCCTAATGTAAATTATTCCCATTCATTATAATTTCGAAACCCACGTAATGAAAACGAACTAGATGAAATGTTGTTTGACTTCATGCTAGGTATAAACCTCATACCACTGTAAAGAAATGTTGTGTTTCAACTGCCTCTAATAGATGTTAATTGTATTGTAATTATCCGTTTCATCTCCAAGCTTGACACATTTTTGTCGCCACTGTGAGCTCTCGGCTAATGAATAAATAAGGATGTCACACCTGAGCAGGATCATATCTTAGTTCACTTAAAGCAATCGGAGGCCGATACCAATCAGAAATTCACAGTTCAAAAACTGCAAAAATTACCAGAATCAATAATGGTTTGAAACAACTGTAATGGTTGAGTGAACAAACATGTCAGTTCTGCTGTAAGTGTAGGAGAAAATCAATACCAGTATCTAAGATCAGTGTGGTAGTGACTTTACCTGGTCTCAAGGAGTTTGTATTCTCTCATTTCCAAGTGTGTGATATAGAGCTGTCCAGTGTAAAAAAAGTGTGTAGGAAATTTCTATATTACACCCCATTTCACGTCACTCGACGTCACAATGGCTTAACAATGACTTGGCGTCATGAATTTGGAAAAATCTGATGCCGCTATGCGGAAAAGGCGTTGTGATGACATTAAAACCTACTACGATATATTTACCATACACGTTAGAAAGATGAATTGAATTTTTTCCGTGCAGTTCTGTTTACAAATATGGGGTATGCTTAATCTCGCTGACAGATTCGTTTTCGTCTAAAGCCTAAGGTTTTACCAAATATGAAAACTCCTCGGGTGGAATTTCCTTATCCTACACCCCTGGGCATGAAAGAGTCTTATAAGGTTCTCGATGATCGCTGTATATTTTTGGGACATGTATAATGAAAATCATTAACATGTCTTTCACATCAGATTTTGTGTCTAGGTAACTTTACCTTAGCTAAAGGTGTTTGTAAGGTCCTCAATTATCTCTGTTTATTATTGGTAAAATGAAACTCATTAACATGTCTTTTACATCAGATTTTGTGTCTCTAGGTAACTTTACCTGGCAGACCTTGTACTCATGTGTTTGTTTCTATACCGCTCTAAGTTAATTAGCAGGATAAGGCCCATTTCAATCAATACCCTCACTATGCACGATTGCATACATAAAATCTGTTAATGGTCCTAGATGAATCCTGTCAATCTGAAACATTCCAATTGATTTCCCATGCCCTTAACATGATGTAGTCAGTACTGATGGGTTATTGAACGATACAGTGAATAATAATGACAAGACAAATTATGATACAGGTATTAATATCGGCAGCAAAGAGTGCACAAAATTCATCAAAATTATATTATTGCAAAACGTTAAATTGACGTTACAGTATTATATCTCTATCTCTCCTCATCCACAGGGGTTTCCACTCCACATGAACCTTGCTGTCCGCTCAACTAACAGCACCATGAACCCAGAGGAAACCGTCAGGATGTTGAAGGGCCAGAACAGGCAGCTCACTAAGGTAACATAGACCTAAGTGTCTTATCCCATTCTGGTGAATTATATTACCCTGACAGGTGTATCCACACTACCTTTGGTGTGAGATATCCTTGTCTCACCCTAGGTTTGAGATAGGGGAATTGCCCTATTCATAACAACTGTATGACATCACATCAACAATGCATATATGTCACATTAACAATGCATTGAACCTGTAACGTTAAAATTGCTTTGTGTAAATAATAGGTCAACAGGATAAGAGAAAAAGAATCATTCAGCCCCTTGAGGTAAGATGGGGATTCTCAACCCTCGGAGAAAGATTCAGCAAGCAATGTGTTTGGTAACTGAAGAATCTCCCCCCCCCTCCCCAGGTTGAGATTCCTCTATCTCACCCCAAGGGGTGACAGATTCTATTAGTCTCATCTCTCTCTTGTGACAAAGACAATGGTGTCTTATCTTACTCAAATGGCATAGACAACAGCATATCTGTGATGAAACATACACCATGGTTTGTCAACTCACCCTGTTCACATATATAGCATGGTGTCTCATCTCACCCAGGTCACATACATAGCATGGTGTCTCATCTCACCCAGGTCACATACATAGCATGGTGTCTCATCTCACCCAGGTCACATAAATCATGGTGTCTCATCTCACCTAGGTCACATACATAGCATGGTGTCTCATCTCACCCAGGTCACATACATAGCATGGTGTCTCATCACACCCAGGTCACATACATAGCATGGTGTCTCATCTCACCCAGGTCACATACATAGCATGGTGTCTCATCTCACCCAGGTCACA